TCGGCTTGACAAAACCCTGGCTGGGTTTATTTAGATGGGATAGGTCCTGCTTTGGGCAGGGGGCTGGACTCAATGACTCCTGAGGTCTCTGCCAGCCCTGGGATTCTATGATTCTATAATTCTGTGATCAGGAGATGAAGCTACCAAGAGACACTAAGGGACACACAAGCGATTTAGACAGTCTGCTCTTTCCAGCCCCTGTACTTCCCCTACCTGTCTCCTTCCAGCTCACAGACGTATTTCACCACTGGGGTCCAATCAAACGCTCCCGGCTCCTTCTTCAGCCATTTCTCCAGTTCCTGGCGGTTCCGGTCTGTGTAGTCGGAAGCGACGATCTCCTTAAAGTTCTCGCAGGCGGACAGGAGCTGGTAAATGGTGGGGCCACTGCCGATGTCAATCAGGGTGTCTCCTTTCATGTCACCTGGTTCGGAATGCAGAATGCTTGGAGCTCATTGGATCGTAGCCAGATCAAATGCAATTGCCTCTCAGTGACATTTTGCTGATTTAGTTTAATACATCGAGAGCTAAACCTTGCTTCCACTGAACGCAAGAGCCAAACGCCCATTGACTGCAGTGTTACCAAGCTTTCGCTTCAAGTCCTCAGTGCTCCTTCATGGGCAAATTAACACTAGCTACCTTTGTATTTATCTCAACTAGCCCAAGCAGTGTAGAAGCTGCATGGAGGATGTTTACAGAAGGAGCACTTTTTCTGCAGCTGTAAGAATACAAAGCATTGCACATCAAGCACAGGTAGCCTCAGTAGCAGTTTACTAGTCTGTTACAGGGTTTCCCACCATGAACCTGATTCCTCACTGACCTTCACCTGGTATCATCACATAGACTTTTCTCCTGCAATGTACAAATTAATTGACACAGCGTAAAGACAAATATCACTGTTTGCAATTAGCAGCTGTTAGTGATTTTCTCCTGCCTAATCTCCTAGGATATGTCTACACTAGCCCCCTAGTTCAATCTAGGGAGGTTAATGAGGGTGACCGAAATTGCAAATGAAGCGTGGGATTTAAATATCCCGCGCTTCATTAGCATGTTACCGGCTGGTTGCCATTTTAGAAATTGACTAGCCCGAAGTAACTGCCCGCGGCTACATGTGGCAGTGAAACGGGTTTCCGAATTAAAGTCCTAAATCGAATTAGCTGGTAAACCTCATTGCAGGAAGAATAACAGCTAATTTGATTAGGGCTTTAATTCAGAATCCCATTTCACTGCCATGTGTCAATTTCTAAAATGGTGACCAGCCGAGAACATGCTAATGAAGCGTGGGATATTTAAATCCTGTGCTTCATATGCAATTTCGGTCGCCCTCATTAGCCTTCCTAGATCGAACTAAGGGGCTGGTCTAGACATACCTCTAGACTCAGTCCTTTCCATTACAGATTGATACCTTATTATGAGCTTTTCCTTGTACTTATACTTCTAATAAATTTTTACTCAAGGACAATCTCCTGGATAACACCATGTCTCTGTGGAGGTGCAGTTATAGTTAATAATAGCAAAAATACTAATAGTGTGTAGACACGCCAAATTTCGAAATAGCCTATTTCAACAAAGAATCAAAATAAGATACACAATTTGCATATTTCGAGCTAAGGGTGCAGTGTAGACACACCCTTGCAGAGTTGGTGTTATAGAGACAAGGCCTTATTCCTGCTCCAAGGAGAAGGCTCAGAAGCAATTTGCTATATAATAATTAACAATAATTAACTCTTCCGTTTAGTGCTTTACAGTCACACAGTCCTAGCTCCTTGGACCAAATGTCCTTATCCCTGTTTTACAAATGAGGCTGAGAGAGGTGATGTGACTTGCCCAAGGTTCACAGAGTGGTCAGTGGCAGCCTTGAGAACAGCGCTCAGGAGCCCTGAGTGGCAACCCAAGGCCATACTGCACTGGTACTTGCAGAAAGGGGAGGATGGGAAAAGCTTGCTGAGGACCTGTGGTACTTCTAAGGGCTGAACAACAATACTCAGCCAATCAAATGGGCTTTTTATCTAGACACACTAGCTGAAGAATCCTCAACCCCACCCCTTGCAGAATGGGGAGAGTTAACCATGCATCCCAGTGGGGAAAAGTGGGGAAGAAGGGAGCAACTGCCCTGGGGCCTGGGACTTCTGGACGTACTGCTACTCCTGCATGAGCAGCAGCGTGCTCTGAAAAGTGCTAAGGGCTGCCTGCCCACAGCCCCGCCCCTTCTGCCTGAAGCCCCGCCTCTTCCAGGAGCATGGATATGCCCATTCATGTGGCCCAAAGGCCCAACAAGTCTGTCTACCCCTCTGGACGTGATTAACTGTTGTAGCATGTGTTTTGCTCCAGGAGTGACCACGGGAAGCCAGTCACCAATGCATATTACAGGATTTTTCACCACCACCCATGTCAAAAAGGTGCCAGGATAATAAGCAGGTTTCTTAGGTCACAGACAGAGACCAACACACAAGGGCTGTGTCCCAGATGCCTCCCGCAGGCCCTACCTGAAGCGAAGGCTTTACAATAATGTTTCAGAGCAAAGTTCAGATATTCATCTCCCACGGAGCCTTCTCCAAACTTAAAATATTCCAGATAGGCCTTGGGATCAAACGCTGCCTGGTAAACATTCCCTCTGGTGTACTCAGCCATGGCGCTCGCTCAGTGCGTGCACGTACAATGTGCTGGTTTTCCCTGGGTCCCCTGGCTACAGTGAGCTGCCGCGATGACACACGATCCGTGCTCTGCCTTTTAACCCTTTCACGTCCCTGCAGGACGAGTGCAGTTGTGGATTTCCCCTGCCCACCATCTATAGCTTTACACGGACACTCTTCTGTTTTCAAAACTTTTTAAAATCCTGTTTGCTCTTCACAACTGCAGATCCCTAAAGGAATCCCACGCTGGCCGCTGATAGAAAGTTCTCTGGAGAGTGGACAGCATTAGGCCAGCCTCTCTGCTCCCAGAGCTCAAAAGCAGGGATCTGCACAGCAGGCAAGTTCTGAGGTCAGACGAGGGGCGTGTCACAGACTCCAGGGCTGCAATGCTGAGCTGTAATGGGATGTTTTATTGCTGGGGTGAGCTTGCACATTTGCACCCCTACAAGCAGTATTCGAGGTGGCATGGCCGGCTCCCAGCTTCTAATCCACTTGCTTCTGTCTTAAAATCTCTGCTAAATAGAAGGCAGAAATCTGGGAGGGGGCCTGTGCTCCCACATGGCTTCCCCATGCACCGCCCCATTTTTCTACCCCCATGACTTTGCATCCTGGGAGTCTGCCCAGCTCACCCCACCCTCCTTACGGCCCTGGTCCTGAAACTGGGAGCTAAAGCACCAGACGGGGGGAGAGTACCAGAGCCAAGGACCTCCCATGAATAATGGCCTGTATGCAGGCTCTTCCGCTTCATTGCTTGTGTTAATGAAGCTACTCAAGTCTGGGTGGAAGTGGATCTGTTCACTCTGACCTGAGTAGCTTCACTAACACAAGCAACTTCTTCCTTATATATACTCCTGCTTCTATAAGTTCCACTCCAATTCATCAGATGAAGTGGGTTTTAGCCACGAAAGCTGATGCCCTAAAAAATCTTGTTAGTCTCTAAGGGTATGTCCAAACTACATGGCTCCATCGACGGAGCCATGTAGATTTGTTTGTTCGGCAAAGGGAAATGAAGCCGCGATTTAAATAATCGCGGCTTCATTTAAATTTAAATGGCTGCCACACTGAGCCGACAAACAGCTGATCAGCTGTTTGTCTGCTCAGCGCGCTAGTCTGGACATTCCCGCACCGACGTGAAAGCCCTTTATCGACCTCCCCGGTAAATCTCATCCTACGAGGCATAACGGGGAGGTTGATAAAGGGCTTTCATGTTGGTGAGGGA